CTTGTAACACCGTCCCCAAATGTACTTATCTTTAAGCGAATAATTTATTGAACCCTATGAAATTTTTAGTGAATTTACGAGGTTGTGAATTTGTATTAATTTTTTTGCGTGAACAGTAAAATGCACGTGGGGCCCACATCGGGAGTGGGGACCGCCCAATATTATCGGGACCACATATTATATTCGTCTGGGCCTAGAAAATATTTATAGATGGTGGATACTTCATTTGGGCCTTGGAAAGGCCCAGGGTTGACCGACCGGTCAATAGAGGCCCAAATACCGGTATCGATAAATTTATCAGATAAAAGCCCGAAATTGGATTTTGGAAACTTATAAATTTAAAATTGGGGAATGCATATTCATTCTAAATGGTATAATGATTAAGAACACGTAATATATTTATTTAACCCGATAAAATAAAACAGATCTAAAAACAGTCCGGAAAATACAACTTTCGGGGCAAATTGTACACTTTGGGACAAATTAGGATGACCTCCCACAAGGGTAAGGGCCACCCCACGAATTTGTCAACCCTTTAGGGCTGGATGAGTGCCAAGTTGGCTGAACAACAATTGAGAGGATGGGGGAGACACCCTTGACATGTAGTAGACTCCCTCCCTTCACTCATTTGTCTAAATGAGACAAAAACCACCTCTCTCACCTCACCATCTCCACCCACACGATTCAGCACCCTAAGATAGCAAGGAGGGGCTCTGAAACTTCTCATTTTCACACCCAAATTCGAGCTCAAGATAGAGGATCCAAAGAGGAGTGCTTGGAGAAGGAAAAATGTGTAGGAAAGTGTGGAAAATTGAGGTAATCACCTTGCCATAGCTTTCCCTTTATTTTTCTTCTACCATGAGGCATATTTATTATATGGAGAACCCTTGGGATGGTTCTCCATGCTCTAAGTATGGATTAATGGGTTGGGAAGTGGTTCTATGTCCAAAAACGGACTTAGAAGCCAAATCGACCGGTTTGCCGGAAAATAACCTTTTATAGGTTATTTGTGTTGATATGGGTTTTGTGATGATAAAACCTTGTTAGGAACTTGATTTAAAGTATTTTTGAGCTTCGCCGGAGTTTCCTCGGAGTTGGTCAAAGTTCGCCGGAGTTGGTCAAAGTTCGCCGGAGTTGGTCAAAGTTCGCCGGAGTTGGTCAAAGTTCAATCGAGGAACGTAGAACGCGCTTAAGCTTAATTAAGGTGAGGATGACCGACTATGTTACTTATAATCTTTGGGTTAATTTCATGGGATTTCCTAAGTGAATACAAATGTGATGTGCATGGGTTGTTAATGGTTAATAATGCCAAAATAAAACTACTATTGATTTTAAGTATAGTATGCATGATACACAAATTTATGAATAAATTGTGTATGTTTAGATGTTATGAATATGTGTGTATGATGGTTGTACCAACCATGAATTTCATTTGAGATAGTATACTTTGATACCATGAGGAGAAGCCATGAAGGTATGAAAGTGATACTTGATATTTAGGCCAATCATGCATGAAGGAAGAATTATATTGAAATAAATAAATAACTAGCATTAAAATATTAGTTGGAAATGTTAGTTGAGAAATGGATGAATTAGATCCTAAGAATGAGAATTATAAAGAATCGGTGATTATGAGCTGGGCTCTAGACCGATGTAGATAACGGTGATTATGAGCTGGGCTCTAGACCGTAGTAGATGACGGTGATTATGAGCTGGGCTCTAGACCGTAGTAGATGACGGTGATTATGAGCTAGGCTCTAGACCGTAGTAGATGACGGTGATTATGAGCGGGGCTCTAGACCGTAGTAGATAACGGTGATTATGAGCTGGGCTCTAGACCGTAGTAAATAATGATGAATTGATACTAAATGAACGGATTAACTATAACGTAATAATGCTCTAGATTGAGGGCCTCAGAGATTTAAACTTCGATTATACTTAGTATAGTTGTCATTGTACTTGTCAAATGCTTCCAAGTACTGACCTCCCCTTCACGGGGGAGGCCACCTCACAGTTTCAGGTAGAACTTGAAGGTTGCTACTACCATCCGCTGTTCGGGAAGTTCCTGAGGAGAAGACTTGGTTCGTGCTTCTTCCGTTCTCGTTTTGAAAACAATATGAATAATGCTCATGGATAATATTTTCTGAATAATTACTTTGGGGGCTTGCATGCCTAATTATGCCAAGTGTGGCTTGAACACTTGTATCAATTGTTTCCGCTGCTTTAATAAATGTTTACATTATGTTTGTTTATGGATGTACTATGTGTGAATGGTATTCAAGACGCCTTGTATAGTATGGATGAGTCGGACTGCGGTTGACTATTCGTACTGTACGGCGGGTTGTTGACGTGTCCGGGTAGGTTCGGGGCGTGACAGCTATAATCCTTTTTTAGTTTTTACTACCAGTTTACAGTCAACACTTCGTTTTCTCGCTAAATTGGTGTAAAGTGTGTGTATATATATGGGCATATATATATATATATGGGCATATATATATATATATATATATATATATATATATATATATATATATATATATATATATATAGACAGAGAAAAGATCATGTGAGAAGTCCCTCTTAAAATGAGAAGTGAGAAGCAATCTCAGCCCTTGGATTTGAATCTAATCTTACAACGCAGTAAACTTATAGACTGAATATAGGAACTTATAACTAATAAATCATTACTTATAAAGCTCTCAATCATAATTACGAAAATACCACCGCGTCCAAAAATTTTCAAGGTTTCCAAGCTTATTTTTTGGCGGTGGCATTTTCGTAATTATTTTCGACGGGGTTTATAAGTTATGATTTATTGGTTAAAAGTTCTTGTTTTTAGTCTATTAGTTAAACTTCGCAATTCTCAGCCTAAGAGCACTTCTCACCTGATCCGCTCACTATATATATATATATATATATATATATATATATATATATATATATATATATATATATATATATATATATATATATATATATATACACACACACACACACGGATAAGAGATCAAATACAAACCATGCTTAAAATACTAACATACAAACTCAATAATATGCAACATTTTGAACTTTAATATGCAGTATAAATAATGTAAAGATGCACATTGTGAACTTCAATATGCAATACATATAATATGCAGCACTTTGAACTTCAATATGCAATAAAAATAATATGCAATACTTTGAACTTCAATATGCAGTACAAATAATGTAAAGATGCACAGTTTGTGACAGTTTGTAGGTTAGCATGGGAGGACTAGTTAGTATGTGATCCCACCCCTATATATATGTATGTTTGTGTGTGTGTGTGTGTGTGTATATATATATATATATATATATATAAAAATTAGAGATCAAATACAAACTAGGCTTAATTTACTAACCTACAAACAAGTCATGACCATTCATTTAGATTAGATTAACGTGCGTTTCATTTAAGTTGTTCACAACCAACTAATTAAAATTGAGGGTGTTTTGGTCAATTACTCAACTTTATAATGGAACAAAAATCAGGCTCGTTAGTTTCCATTCCCATAACCGTCTACTTTCCATTCTTCTTTCTTTCTATCATTCCATAGATCATGGTGTTCATTTGTGCGCTTGTCTTCCTCATCTAGATTATGAATTGCTTCAGTTAATCATCTCTCATCATTATCATCAAACGCCATGGAATCAGGTATTCATATATCTTTGATAAACTCTGTTTTCATACAAAGAACTTCAGATGTATTATTCCTTGTGGTTGCTCGTGTTTCCTGATCATGCATTTTAAATTTAATTGATTCGCATAACAAGTTGATGTTATCCGGCCTGTCTTCTCGCAAACAAATTTCATAATTAAACATTGATAAGGTTATCTTCCTTCACTTCATAGGTTTTTTTTCTTGTGTTTACTCAATTGTATATAAATTAGGAATGAAACTGAACTGCATCATCATTAACGTGAAGGGAGAACATAATTATTTTAATATTTGTTGAAATTTCTCTTTGTTATTCATTTTTGTCTCCTGAAAGGTATAAAGTATATATTATGCATTTGTTTTGGTTTTATGGTGCATTTAGTGAAATAAGATTTTAGTGTTGTTTAATATTGTTTTCTTTCATGTTTAATATTATTTATTGTTTGTTGTTTATATAGATTTGAATTATGCTTTACAAATTTTTCCCGGGGCTCAAAGCACTAGATCCCTAAATGTTCACTCGAAAAAAACCGATAGTTGGGATGATATTTCCTAATCTAGATGATGACTTGAATCTTTACAAAGGCTATGCAGCTGAATTTGGATTTACTATTCATCATCATACATCAAAGAAGGTCGGAGATAGTCATATATTCATGAAGTATGCAGTTTCTGAAGTTTGCCCGAAAATTAGTTAATGAGTGTCTAATACGATTGAATGTAAAACTCTTTTAACTCTGAAATGATAAGATGCACATCATATAACCTTAATATGCACATCATATAACCTTAATATGCATATCACAAAACTATAAGATGCACGATATTAACTTCAAAAATGGACATGTCATAATGATAAAATGCAACCTATGAACTGAAAATACAGACGCCATAACAATGAAATGTAGTATGAACTATTAAAGTGCACATATCATCTTACTATAGTGCAATATACGAACTTCTATAATACACATGCCACGATGATAAAATGCAGCATATGAACTACTAAAATGCAAAGTAATCACAGCCATCCATCTAAGCCTATTTTCTGTGCACCTGTTTTATTTTTACTCGCTAATTATTTGAATTTTTTTCCATTCATGACTAATTATTTGAATTTTATTTAAATATTTGAATTATGTGCACCTTGACCATATGTTGTTTGCATCTCTCATAACTGAATTATGCACCTATTATTTGGATGTTGATTCGTACATTCTATTTATTTTATTGGCAGGTTAAATATGGTCTTCGGTCCTTTCACAAGCGTTGATAATCACCGAAAGTGCATTACATTTGGCGCCGGTTTGTTACTTCAGGAGGATGTGGATTCCTACACTTGGCTTTTCACACGCTTCATGCCTGCAATGGGACGTGAACCAACCTGCATTATTACAGACCAAGACCCAGCTATGCGCATTGCAATTGAGAAAGTATATTCAACTTCCAAACATCGGTATTGTATGTGGCATATTATGTAAAAAGTGACACAAAAGGTAGGTCCGGTCTTAAGTAATAATCAAACTTTTATATCATCATTGAATTCAATTGTGTGGAGTCATTATCTTGACACAACCCAGTTTGAAGATAAGTGGACATCTCTCATGAAACAATATGACTTGACAGCACATGTGTGGTTTTGTCACATGTTTGAGTTGCGCAGATGGTGGATTCGTTCTTATTTTAGAGATACTTTTATGGCCGGTTTGCTTCGTACCACATCGCGCTCTGAGAATGAGAATTCCTTCTTTCGGGAATTTACTAACCCACACTTTAGTTTAGTTGAATTTTTAATGCAGTTTGAGAGTGTAATGGATGCACAGAGGCATAATAATGACAAATTGAATTCTGATTTGGAGTCTTACATTCCAGATCTCAAGACTCCTTTAACAATGGAAAAGGCAGCTGGTGATGTTTTCACACTCTCTAGTTTTTATGACCTGCAAACAGAAATATGTTCAGCTTGTTTTGCATGTCGTGTGTTACATCTTGATGGTCGTGATGGTGTTTTTGACTATGACATTTGTGACGATCGGAATCTGGTGTTTAAAGTTCATTTTGAAATGTCAGATATGAAGCCGGAGTGCAGTTGTAAATTCTTCCAGTGGATTGGTTTGGTTTGTCGTCACATCTTTCTTGTCTTAAAAGACTCGAAAGTTGAACAGATTCCAGAACATTTTGTTAATACCCGGTGGTGTAAGAGGGGTTTAATCAAATCGTAAAGTGTCACGTTAGAGGAGAATAAGATGTGTGTGAACTCTCTATGGTCTGATATATATGCATGTCTCTTGTTCAAAATAACCCATGTTACTTGCAACAGTTTTCAGGCATTATTAAAGATCAGAAAGAGATCCTTCTTTCCCTTCAGAGTGGGGGTGTACAGTCATCAACAAAGCAGTCAGTATTTGAGTCCTTTTATGGTTCCGTTGCGCCTTCTGTCGTCACGGTTCATCCTCCACAACAGGCCAGGAATAAAGGTTCAGGACGTAGGATCAAGTCTTCCAAATAGGTTTCTATCCAAGAATCTAAACGTCCTAAGAGACTTTGTCGTTCGTGCAATGAGATGTGTCATCATGATAGCCAGAACTGTCTGTTGAATAAATAGCTAGGATTGTTTAAGATCATGGTTTTTATTTATTACTGGATTATCTTTGTTTTTTACCCCGTCGGATTTACACTGTTGACAAATTATGTTTGTGAATATTGTTTTGTGTTTTATAAAGTATGCATCTCGTTCATATCTTTACTGCTTTATATACATCATTTGTATGCATATTCGAATACACTTATTTTCACCATGTAGTTCTACACTAGCCAAGACAACTCATATACGTTTAATTTGTTTCCCTAAACTTTGGTGCTTTTTCTTTATTTTTTGATGAGTAAATACACGACCACAATGTAATTGACTATGTAATTACAACTTAATTGACAAAGATATTTTTTCGTAAGTGCACCATATCTCCAAAACTGGTGCATTATTAATTATTTGAAATGTATATTTGCACACATGCATGTTTTGAAGTTACGATCTTTGATGCAGTCTACGGTTTTTTACATGCATATTTCAGTTCATTGATGTGCATCATGTACTTCTACATTAGCAACCACTAAATGTATTACGTTTAATTTGTTTCTCAATAGGCCACACATTTTTTTAAACATCACACGTCACTTTTACACATGTGACATTTTATTGACTACATAATTTAATGCCATATTTTGACTATGTAACTATATCTTAAGTTGCACACCAAAGTATTTTTAAGTGCAACATAAATTTACACAAATGTAATTATAAAAATTTGCACACGAACATAATCTGAAGTGCACACCACATTCACAAATGTTGCATTAGCCACCTAATTTGCACAAGAAAATACTGTCAAGTGCACCCTGGATTTACACACGCTGCATTAGTAATTACTTTGAATTCTATACATGAACAATAGAGTATCCCATGCAAGATTACTTACTATTTGATGCTATTGGATGTTATGCAATTAAATTAAATTAAATACAAGCATAAATCAAATTAAAATAAACTCATGTAAACCTGGAACATATATTAAAACAAATTGTATTCAACATCAAGTTTCACACACAAATATTAAGCATAAAGCTTTTTTTAATTTAAAAATGCAAACACGTCATTGTAAACTGTAAAGTTAAAACAGAGTCATACTGATGTCAACTTCAAATTTCACTAAATTCATTAATTGGGCGTTGCTCCCTTCTTTCGGTTTGCCACCATTTGTTTCTCTTCTTTAGCTTTCTTGGCAAAATTCCTTGCCTTCACTAAGTTTGACTGCATGTACTCATTATTTTCATTCAGGAGAATTGCAAAAATGTACTTCACGTGTAACATCCATACTAGTTTTCTGTCTGTTTCCTTCATCCCAATATTCCATCCTTGCAAGCCTTGACCTTGATACGTTTCCATATGCCGCATTGTGAAAATGCCGTAGTCGTAAATGTTCTTCGTCCGCCTCCACTCCATTTATAGCCTCTTCGGTGTTGCCTTCCTAACTTTCTCAGATTTGGTCATCATATTTCTTGAATCCATGTACTTCACAAACATATTTATCTGCACAAAATTTTGCTTAGCCTCGTAATTTTCATTTATCACGTACAAAATTATTACGACAGTGCACCTTACCATAAGTACTAGTTACATAATATTATTTCGTACCACGTTTTGAGGCATTTCCCCGTATTTATCAATGTTGCGTGCTCTAGCCGATGAGCTATCAATGATATCCACACGCTTCAGCTTAGTATTCAGACAAAGTACATAGCACCAAAATAACCATTTTTTACAATTTACAAATTAATAGCAATGCATTATATTTCAATAAAACAGCATACCAAATCAACTTTTGAAAGTGCAGTGTGGACTTTTATTGCTTCCAACCCAAACTCAATGACTTCCACAAAAAGGGGGTAAGCACTGTCATCACTCAATCCTAGGTCTGCCTGTGTGTCAAGCTACAACACAATTCCAAAAACGTTAAACCCAACTGTATTATTCATAAATCGTGTACAAAATACAACTTTAAAATAGATAAACAAAACAATTAGTTTTTTCGGTGAATGTGTACTTACATAGGGCAAGACTTTAGCAAATAATCTAAGGGTAGACTCACTGCTTCGGTCTTTCTCTTTACAATTAAGCGTGAATGCTCAAGCATTGATTACACTTTCCTCGATGTGGCAACCATCCTTGATGCTCATCAGTTGGCCGCGGGTAAGCTGCAATTAGTTAAGGCTTTTGAAAATAACCTCATTCCTGTAGAGTTTGCGTTCAATTTGTAATGTGCATGCACTTATATTTTCCCACATTTTGAAACTAAAAATGAAATTTGCATTTCACAGTGCACTTATGCATCTCCATCAACGTCGAGAAGTATCCAACCACCCATTGCACGTTCAACTACCGTTAATGCATCACTTGGATCAATAACTCTTCTTAAGTAAGGTGATTTCATGGTTGCTCCAGCCGTTTGTTTTCTTTTTAGCTGCCCCAATTCTTTTGTCTCTTCAATCTGCTGTTGGAATTAATGTTTTTAAAAAATATTAACAGAAATAGTACTCTTTACTTTTCAACCAAACAAAATGTGCACACACTTCCCCCTTCATCTGCACTCAATCAACACCTCACTCATTTTTTATATGTTTTTTTATTACCTTTCTGATTTCCGGCACATGATTTACATGTGAACTTGATTCACCACCACCCGCTACCATTTCCTCATTTAAATCAAACTGCACACTGCCATCGGCTTTTCTCTTCCCCTTTTCATGTATATTGTTCTTCTCACACCCTAGAAGAGCATCATCTCTTACTTCATTTGATGCAACGTCTTGTGTGAGACCTATACTAAAGGTTGGCATATCTTCCCTCCTTTGAGGAACCTTTGTTCTCTTTATACCGTCCACCTCAGCGTGTGCTAATATTTCAAGGTTGACTGGGTTCGACCAAAATACCTCCATCTCCCTGTCCAGCTGTGCAGGTGTGGCAAAATCCGGAGAATGCTTCTGTAAAACAGCCATCAACATATTCGCCGCTTCACCTAACTCTTTGAACTCTTCACTTCCACGAAGTACATCGGAAGCTTCATCTAACATATTCATGATGTCAGTCGTTGTTTTAACAAATGTGCTGGTCTTATTAGCAAAGCGTTGCAGAACGTCCTGTAATTTGCAAAAAAAAAGAGATAAATTAGGTATTTGCTAACTTAGAAGCAACAATCTGGAAACAGATGAGACAACCAAACAAGAGTACACATAATTGCATATCACAATAAGTAATCTTCACATTAACTCCTTCATAAGCATGCAAGAATAAAAAAATGTGCACCCCACATGTAGTCTTCTGCATGCACATAAACGCATTTTTTCCTCTACCTGTTCTAAACCCGGTGTTGTCGAGGGCTCACCCACATCCTGTGTTTTCTCTTCAGCAGTGACACTTTTCCCGGTCTCTCAGGTGATTGTCATCTTCTCGTCTAGATACTCTAAACCAAATCCTCCAGCCTCTATTTCTTCTGATTCTCTCTCCCTCAATAACGGTGTGTTCCATCCTATTATAGCTAGAACCTTCCTCGGAACGCTTCATCTATATACCACCTTCCTATCCACATACAACACCTACAAAATATACGAATAAAAGAATTAGTTCAACTTTATCAATGTTATTCAATATGCATATTAACTTCATCAGAAGCACATCAAATTTTGCATACTCACAATTGATTTGCAGCTTTACCTTAACTAGTTTGCACATTGTTTTCCATCACACAAAAATCACTTAATATGGCCTTAAAATGCAAGTTCACCTGACTGTAAATGCACTTTCAGAAACTAGAATTCATAACTAAATCACTAATTCATCAGTCTTATGAACAAATTTTAAATTTATGCACCACACCTTTTATAAAACCGGACCCCACCTAAATACCGCACACTCTGCATATTCAACTACCTTAATATGCATATTAACTTCATCACAAGCATGTCAAATTTTGCACACTCAAAATTGATTTGCACCTTTACCTTAACTATTTTGCACATTGTTTTCCATCACACAAAATTAACTTAATGTGGCCTTAAAATGCAATTTCACGTAACTATAAATGCACTTTAAGAAACTAGAATTAAGCAACAAATCACTTATTCATCAGTCTTATGAACAAATCTTAAATACATGCACCACACCTTTTATAAAACTGGACCCTACCTAAATACCACACAAACTACATATTGAACTACCTTCATATCAAAATACGATGTACTTACCATCAAGAAAATGAGCGGACCGGTGAATGCTTTTTCCTTTCCTTGAGCCCATTCCCTTTTCTTCTCAATTAGAGCAGTTATCACGTATTCGCACCAATTTAAATCTTTAATTTTTTTGTGTCCTTCAAATTGTTTATGAAGGAGCAGTTTATGTATCCGTTTCGTGTATTCTCTATCTAGGTAGATATAACAAGAATTATGAAGTTCCTCACAAACCAATCTCCTCCTTCCTTACATCTTAGCATTTCACGTGCCACCTCTATTGGAGTTACCTTATCCCTTCCGCCAAAAGAAGCCCTCCACTCATCCACCATTTCACTTTTCTCCCCTTTCCCCTTCTTTAACATTGGTGTATGACCACGTGGAAATCCCAAAACCATCTCCACATCTTCTTCAGTGATGTGAACTTTCCATCCTTTAACTATCTTTAGTGAACAACTTGTAACACCCCGGCCCTGCAGGCCCCGAGATAGTTACTTCTGACCTCTAGTACTGTCCTCACAAACCACCACTAGCCTTTTCAGCGCATTTTATCCTCACTCGTGCGCGCCCTGAGAAACTTCCCAGGGGGGTCACCCATTTCAAGGCTACTCCCGTGCAAGCACGCTTAACTTTGAAGTTCTTGGTGATGAGATCCCTTAAAAGGAGATGCATCTTGTTGCTATGAGTAGTACTATTAATCCGTTTAAATTAAATCTCAAGTATTACAATCACCCCCACTTAGGAATGCAACGTCCTCGCTGCGCCCATAAACCAATCTCAATCATATCCCAGAATCTTTTCCCCTGCTAAGTGCCCATTCGAACGGATCAGCACACTGTCGCAAGGTTGCTCTGATACCATCTGTAACACCCCGGCCCTGCGGGCCCCGAGGTAGTTACTTCTGACCTCTAGTACTGTCCTCACAAACCGCCACTAGCCTTTTCAGCG